GTGGTCGTCTTTTTCCTTTCTTCTCTCTCTCTCTCTCTGTCTCTCTCTCTCTCTCTCTCACACATATACAGACAAACTCACTTATTTACTTCTGCATACGTTCTTTTATATTCACAACATTCGATGACAAGTTGTAGTCCGAACGAGAAATAGACGATCAGCTTCCGGCAGATGCTCGAAATTTGATTCGATTTGACGCGAACGCGATTTTTTTTCGTTATACATTCGTAAATCGAATACAACACCTGCCTCTTCGGAGAATCGACGATTCGTAATGGAAGTATCAACATTCTCTTCTCACTTTGATCTCCAACTCAAAAGTCAAATCCGGCTGACTTGACTCGAGTCATTTTCACTTTCTCGATGTTCACGTTGAGGTCACATTGGTAATCGCGAGATGATTTTGTGGCTACGTGACACGAAGAGACAAAGCGATAAAGCGAATCACTCGCTAAATTGGAAGATCAATGCTCGGCTCTCATAATTATTATTAATATTATTAATCGGCCGAGTATTAGTAATCTCCATCTGATTGATAAAATCAGGATGTCACGGAGATCCGATTGTGATTAATGAAGTCGAGATCGTAAGCGCGAAGCGATAAGAAATTAACCGTAAAAACCGTGTATCAGATTAAAGATTTTTGACAATGATGTAATAAGTTTGATAGAAGGCTTATTAAAGTTAAATTAACGTAATGTTCCTCTTGACGAACAACCGATCGATCATACCACGAATGTGGACATGTGGACTATCAAGTATCTTCAAATTATTCACCTTATTTCTTCATTCATATTCAACGCGTATCGCCGGATATTGTCCTTGCGCTCTTCAATCGACACGACAAATAACAAAGTCACAATGGCTTCTTTTCGCATTAAACGACGCGTGTATCGCGGTCGTGGCGCGCGGCAAGGATTTTACATCTCGTATTATATTCTGATTCGCGTAATTACACGGCGGGGAGTACTTCATCGTATCGCGAGAACGACATTATGATAATACCTAATAGCGATAATAAGGCCGGGGCGCGCACCACACGCCTTTCGCAATAACGAAGATTATTATGAAATCCGCGGACAGCGCTGTTATTACTTCGCAACGAGTATTTTACCGAGCGCACCCTCCCTCCCACGCCTCGTTTCCGGCCTCGTCGGAACGAGAAATCCGCTCGTCATCCGAGCTCGAGTCCGTACCGTGCTGGATTCTGCACCTCCGAGCTGTGGCACTAACGCTGTTTTCGGCCGGGAATCATCTCACCGATTCTCGGAGCGAATATTTTACACACGAAAAACCCCACGAATTTCCCAACAAATCCGCGCGAACCATTCCTCAAGATGGCCCGACGATATATAAAATAAAAAGAGCTTTATAT